TCATTGCGTTGCATTTGGCTAAATCATTAAGAGTGGGACACAGGCGTTGTGGTTTCCAGCAGGCCTAGGCCTGCAGAGCCCTCGGGAGTAGCTGCACCTTGCCTCTCTCCCTGCATGGGGGTTTCAGTGTTTCTTTGGTCACAGCTCACTGTGTGAGGTGGGTCAGCTCCCTGCAGCCCCGCAGAACCTCGGTGGCACAGGGTCCAGGGGGTCCCAGCCTGCTCTGCCCGCTTTAACTGAGCCTCCAGCAGCAATGCTCATTTCCCATCTCCTCATTTATGAGTTCCTGCCTTTGACTGGGCAGCAAGAAAAACATTTTGTCGTTGGTTTGTCCTAGATCATTATAAGGAGGAGGGAGAAGTGCTGCCTATCGATGTTTGTGGTTCATTGACACAACATCAACATAACTGCCAGATATTTTTGTTAATGCGCTGTGTTTAGGCTGTTAAACAGTTGCTGGAGAAAGAAGTGGTTGATGACATGCAGATTATGTAGCCTTCAGATAATGCTGCTTCCTCTTGTTTTCCTGGGTCAGAGAGGTTTTGTATAGTATGTGCTTTTTCAGAAGACAGCAACCATAATTGTATTTGTTTCAACTTTAGGGGATTATTTTAATGTCATTTCTAAATTACTTTAAGCAGGCCCAAATGAACTTCTTTAAGCTGTTTGAATTGTCTTTTAATACAATTAATGGGACGATTGAGCAAATCCCAGACTGGTTTTATTATTTTGAGCCCAAGTAAATGTAAGATAAAAAGGTTCTCTGATCCAATACACCGCTTTCAGCAGTGGTTTATGGCAGGTGTTAGGGAAGAAGAAGGTGAGTAGTACATAGCTGTGACTGCAAGGTGTGCTCCCAGGCTTCAGTGGTTTGCTGTTCTCAGGTACAGGTGCATCTGGCAGGGCTCTGACAGAGCTGTGCAATGCATGCTCAGACCTTCAGCTGAGCACGTGTAGCTAACTTCAGGTATTGCAAACTGACGGCCTTTTAAAGTCTGGTAATAAGACTTATTCATGCTTTCTTTTTGTTTTTCTGTCCTTTGTCATAAACCTCTGCTCAAGCAGATGCTGGTTTAGATCTCAGGCTTGGGCTGCATTGTCCACATGGATCCAGAATTTCCCCCTTGTGACATGCTGAAGTGGATGCAGACCTGCCTGCTGGAATCCATTTTTCATGCTTGATAGATGAATCATTTAAAATACTTGATTTTTATATTTCTTTATTTGATCTTTAACGAGATCTGTTACACGTAATGTCTGAAAAATGAGTGGTAAATAGCAAGTTCATATTTGAAAAATGAGTGGTACATAGCAAGTTCATATTTGAAAAATGAGTGGTACATAGCAAGTTCATATTTGAAAAATGAACACAGTGAGTTCTACAAGTTCACATTTGACTGCTAAGGACCTGTGGCTGGAACAGCAGTGCATTGATTTTTTCCCGCACACTTCCTTGGCCAGGCACTCCGTGGCCGCAGAGCTGTTCAGGAGCAGGTGGACGCCGCAGTCCCAGGGTCAGGATTGTCCCAGGTGGGTGGTGTGGGAACAAGCACGGAGCAGGCTTTGCAGCAGGAGGAGAGCACGCTGTTGTTTTTGCCCGAGTCAGGCTGTGAGCGGGGCACGGCTGAGGATGAGCCCCGTGCCCTCCGTGCCCTGGCAGCGCGGGCTGGTGCAGCGCTGCTGCTCGGCGTGTGTTAATGATTGACCTGCCCCAGCTGCCTCAGCCCTGCTGCCCTCTGCAAGCCCTCCTGGCTGCTGCATGCAGGAGGGATTCTGGACACCCGGGGAAAGGCTGTAACTCTGTGTGAGGTGCTCCTGGGGGCCGATCCCCCGGGAGAATGGTCGGTTGTGATCCTTGGAGCTGCCGCAGGAATGCACGTGATCTGCTCTGGGAAACAGCTAACCTTGAACAGAATTTCAAGGGCAAGCAATAGTCACGTTTTTCAGTCAAAAGCTGTTTCCAGCTCCAAAGGTCAGTAATTATGAAGGATCTCCAGCCTGAGTTATTTCTGTAATTCTGTAAGGTAGTGGAAGTGACAGAAGCTTCATAAACTGTCAGGATAGCTTCTGCTTGGAGCTGAGAAATGACACGGTGAGAATTTCTGTAGTTCAACCCTGCTGGCAGCGAGAGCAGCACACGGCTGCTCCCTCACTCACCCCGGTGGGATGGGGCAGAATTCCAGAAGTGAGAGAACTCAAGGACTGACAGTAAAGGCAGTTCAACTGGTAAAGTAAAAGCTGCACGCAAGCAAAGCAGGAAAAGGAACTCCTTCCTACTTCCAATGGGCAGGCAGGTGTCTGCAGAAAAGCAGAGCTGTCACACAGAGCAGTGGCTGGGAGGACACGAAACACTAAAGGTGTCCCTTCCCTCCTGATTCAGCTCCATGCACTGAGCGTAATGCCATGTGCTCTGCATGTCCCCTGGGTCACCTGGGACAGCTGCTCCCAGCTGTGCCCCCAGCCCCCTGGAGGGGAGCAGAACAGGCCCTGCCTCTGTAGGTCTGTACCTGACCGGTCCCTGTGTCACCAGCCCTGCTCAAATCCCAAACACGGCCCGTGCCAGCTGCTGGGAGAGAGTTAACCCTGTCCCAGCCAAGCAGCACAACCCCCAACAGGGCTGGAGGTATTTTATAGTCTCTGAATGTTTATGGAGCTGTGTCCCAGACTTGGAGTCCCAAGGTCAAGGTATGAGCTGCAAACAGACTTTATTAGATTGCTCTTGGCATTGACGTGAAACTTTTTATCAGCTTTTTGTGATACTGCTTGTACTGGGGAGGTGAAGTCCATGGAGAGCAGTGTGTTTCTGCTAAACTCTGATAAAAGTGAATTCTTGGTCAGTGGTATGCTTGTCAAAAGTGGCACAGAAGCACATCAGTTGAAGAGAGTCAGCAAATGAGTGGTATTTTAGCTAAGAGATGATTTAAGACTACAGAGAACAGAGGTTGACAAACTTCTCAGGTGTCTCGAGTGCTGATGACTGAGGTAGGCTGTCCATAAATCCCTGAGCAAATTGATCTGTCAGTGGTTTCAGTGGAACCAAGTAGGACAGTGACATACACACGGCACAGGCTGTGGGCTGGGGAGTCATGGTCAGCTGCCTCCCAGCTGAGCATCTCCAGACACATTTCTGAGTCACACTGCTGCCTTTCGTCCCTTTAGGATTCACTCAGGTGTTACATGGTTTGCTAAGATCTGATCAAACTAAAAGCTGCCATCCTGAATCCCTTAGTAGATGGTATTTTCATTAGTTTTTGTTCAAATAGCTAAATATAGGATGCAGTTATGGACAAGCAGAAAAATTATTCTTTACTCAGTAAATACAAACAGAAAGTGTTCTTTTGCATAGATAATGAAATTAAATGTCTTTAAAATGTAGCTTCTTGTTAAACATTAACTTAGAGCTTGTGGCTTAGTAGCAGTGCAGTCTTGGGAATGGTGAAGTTGTGGGTGACTTCCTTGGGGCACAGACTTCCTCCCTTATTTGTGTTAAGCAAGGCTGTTAATTGATGGCAATCTGTAAGGACAGATAATTTGAGTTCCAGCATTATCTCCCCAAAATGAGTAATTTATCGAGTCCTCAGTTGGTCCAGGAGGGCAGTGACATTCCTGTATTTCTCCTGGGGCATCTTTGTTTCCCCTGAGCACAAACCCAGATGGGTTCTGCCCCAGGGCTTTGTGCATTTCCCGAGTTTGCAGGAGAGGAACTGGCACCAAGTCTGTAACTTCTCCCTGAGGGTTTAGGGCACTCCTAGATTTTCTTAATTGACAGTAGCTTCTTTATAAGATGATAGCAGTGTTTGACACTGGATTAAATTGCAGAATTGTCATGCAAACAATGCGTATCTCCAGTAATTTAAGAAAACCAGAACTAAATTTCTTCGGTAATAGGATCAGAGGTTAGGAGCAGAAAGTGGGTGTTAGAAGATCAGATGGCCTTGTAAGAAAAGAAAGGTGTCTTGTAATGACAGTCCCTTAATGACAATTATCTTGTAGTTTGCTTTTTTCTAACAGATAACCTGTTGACTGTATGTTAAGGGTAATATTTTGTTGTAATTTTGATCCACTGCACTTCAAACAGTCTGTGCTCCATGGAGGGAATGAGAGAAGAGAAGGTTGAACTCTTTCCCTTCCATGATGCACGTGAATTGTCTTTTCCCTGATAAAAGCTGAGATCGGTGGGTTGGGCTGGGGAGGTGTGTGTGTGGCAGAGCCGTGGGTTTATCACCCTGTAGGGATGCATTTCTGTTTAGTGTGTGTAAGGATGCATTTCTGTGTAGTGTGTGTAAGGATGCATTTCTGTTTAGTGTGTGTAAGGATGCATTTCTGTGTAGTGCATGTAAGGATGCATTTCTGCTTTAGTGCATGTAAGGATGCATTTCTGCTTTAGTTTGTGTAAGGATGCATTTCTGTGTAGTGCATGTAAGGATGCATTTCTGCTTTAGTGCATGTAAGGATGCATTTCTGCTTTAGTTTGTGTAAGGATGCATTTCTGCTTTAGTGAATGTAAGGATGCATTTCTGTTCAGTGCAGACCCTCTCGGGCGAGTGCCACCCCAGGTGCAGGGGGTAGCGCTGTGGGTTTGTCACCCTGTAAGGATGCATTTCTGCTTTGGTTTGTGTAAGGATGCATTTCTCTGTAGTGCATGTAAGGATGCATTTCTGCTTTAGTGCATGTAAGGATGCATTTCTGTTCAGTGCAGACCCTCTCGGGCGAGTGCCACCCCAGGTGCAGGCTGGCAGCACTGTGGGTTTGTCACCCTGTAAGGATGCATTTCTGCTTTAGTGCATGTAAGGATGCATTTCTGTGTAGTGCAGACCCTCTCGGGCCAGTGCCACCCCGGTGCAGGCTGGCAGCGCCGGGCAGGAGCAGCAGCTGGGCACGGGTTCGGTGCTGGCTGTCCCCAGGTGGGCTGGCCTTGGCCCAGCCCAGCCCTGGGGGTTTCTCTCTGCTCCCCAGGAGTCACTGGGGCCTCTCTGCTCCTTTGCTCCCAGGTGACAGCCCTCAGCCAAGGCGAAATGCAGTGCTGCAGCACTCGTGCATCCTCAGAGCACTGTGCTGGGTCCGTGGCACAGATCTGTGTTTGTTGTCTTTTACAGTACAAAGGAAATGAAGATGGGGAGACAGTTATCATCGAAAAAGACCATTTTATGGATGACTTCTTCCAGCAGGTAAAGTTACAGTTTTCACCATGCACTGAAGACTGACTGTTCCCTCTCTGTGTTTTAATTTCAGTAATGAGGTTTAACAATTCATCTACAGTATGGTCAGAAATTGTATGCCAAAACAAATGTTGGTAATGCTTTGTTAGTTTATTTCATGGTATTTTCTGTGTTTGTTGCAAAGAAATGTTTTTAATTCCATGTCAACAAGAAACTTGCTAATGAAATTTTAAAATAGTTGTTTATTAGGAATATTAGCACTTAAGTTTTTGGCCATTCAGAATATATTTGCTATTGGGTTTTAGTTTAAAAAATACTGGGTTTTAGTTACCAATACTGGGTTTTAGTTTAAAAAAACAATTACAGACTGTTTAAACGTTGACATGTCTGCTGGGATTTCTTTCTGTGCAACCTACAGATTAAATAGTTTGGGTTTTGTTAGCAGGGGGGTTTTTTGTTTTTTGAAAAATATTTGCCCTAAATTATTCTAATGTCTTCTTTGCCGTATTTCTCTTCCTCTAGGTTGAGGAAATCAGAAATAACATAGCAAAAATAGCACAAAATGTGGAAGAAGTGAAGAAGCAGCACAGCATTATCCTGTCAGCACCAAATCCTGAAGGAAGTGAGTAATAATTTCTACAATGTCACATAAGTGTGGCTAGATATTCTGAAATATTGTTTATTTTAGCTATCCATAGGAGTAGAACTTCAGCTGTACAGAATGCAGAATGTAGCACTACGTAAGCATTGTCATTTTTAATACTGAATTAATACTTTCATTTGGGGTTGTTTTGACCTTTTTAAAGTCTCATTTGAAAACAGTGTGTGTTCAGAATATTTCTTGCGTCATCCAAACCTTCCCTAGACCAAACCTCAGTTTAATATGGGTGTTTTCCTTCAGAAGCTGAGGTGACTTAGTTTGTTCTAGCGTGTGGAAATGCTGAAGCTGTGGGGTCTGCTCCTTATTGCTGCGTGTGCCCCAGGGCTGCTGCTGCTGCTGCAGTGCTCAGCTCAGAGCCTCCTGTTTTCAGAGGCTTTGCCCAAAGCTCAAGTGCAGCTCTGCTTTCCCAGCACTGCACTGGGAAGTTCAGGGCCCGTCCCTGTCCCTGTCCCCAGCCCTGCCTGTGCTCCTGGGCAGGGCTCAGAGAAAGGGGAACAGAAGATGCTGAGGTATTTTTGTTTGAATGTTGCAATGCTGGCTCACCATTTATCTTGTGACTCCATCTGGGTGGTGGAAAGTGAGCTTGGGGTGTTGTTTTATCCTGTCCCCCGTTTTCCTTGGGGTGTGTTTGTATTTTTGTATTCCCACAGCTGGTTTTGCAGGCTGCTTTTTCAGGGTCTCAGCTTTAGCCAGGACTCACCTGGCTGTTCCCTGGCAGCACCTGTGAGCAGTGTGTGTTCCTGGGGATGTGCACAGCTCTGTGATGCTCTGCTGGAGCCCTCAGAATGGCACAGACGTGTCACTGAGTGCTAAAGCACTCACAGAAAAGGAGAGAGATCTGTGGTTTCACCTGCACTTACAAATCAGGAGCATTTAACTTCGGACTAGCAAATTAACATTGCCCTGAAAGTGTTCACAGAACTGTTTGTCACCTGGTTTAGTTGAAGATCTGGTAATAATAACGTTTCCCAGGTGTAAGCCTGTCATGAGAAGCAAGCACCTGATGGTTGCTGTTACAAAAACAGTATTTAAAGTACTTAGGAGCATAATAAACTTCAACTCTGCATGGTTGTACTGAATGAAATTCTGAGATTACAAGGTAGATTCGTAGACTTTTGCTGACTTACTATAATCAATCATTAACTGTTCAAAAAAAAATATTTTTTAAAGGAACAAAGGAAGAACTTGAAGAACTAAATGAGGAAATCAAGAAGATTGCCAATAAAATCCGGGCCAGGTTAAAGGGTAAGTTGTGAGGACAAGTGAAACTCCTTGCTTTCAGAAATAACCAAGAAAACGACAATGCAAAATAATTCCTCCTCTATATAGAAATGTCTTCTGCAACTGAAGTGCTTTTTGGGGGGATGATATTTTGGAAGAAGATTAACTTTAACTGCAAAATGACATGACAATGCAAAATAATTCCTCCATATAGAAATGTCTTCTGCAACTAAAGTGCTTTTTGGGGGGATGATATATATTTTTGGAAGAAGATTAACTTTAACTGCAAAATGACACCTTTTAAAATTTTTCCAGTGTAATAGGCAGTAGTGTGTCTCTGTTAAGGGTATGATTGAAGCAGTTACTGTGTTAAAAGATCTTTAGCAATTATCAAAATTATTTTAAAATTTACTTATATATGCCACCCCTCTCCCCTGAAACATTACACATTTCTCTGTACCTTTAAAGAGTAATAATAATATTTACAAAGTAATTGAGCTGTTGAATAACTGACACTGACTCTGTGCTCTTGTGTTGTTCTCAGCTATTGAGCAGAGCTTTGATCAGGGTGAAAATGCCAATCGGACATCAGTGGACCTCAGGATCAGGAAAACACAGGTAGGTTCACCCAGGAAAACACAGGTAGGCTCCTCGGGAAAACACAGGTAGGCTCCTCAGGAAAACACAGGTAGGCTCCCTTCAGCTTCAAGAAAATCAGGGGGTTCTGGGGAGAGCTGTCTGAGCTCCTTTCAGAGCTCCTGTGGTGCTTTGTTGGGCTGTGAGTGCCACTGTGAGTTGTGCTGAGCTGTTGCTGTGTGACAGAAATGGCTCTTTCTGACACCTTTCTCTGTCGCTCTCTGTCCCTTTCTGATGTCCCTCTCTGTCCCTGTGTCTGTGCCTCTGTCTGTCCCTGCTGCCCCTCCCTGATGCCTCTGTCCCCGTGTCTGTCCCCGTGTCTGTCCCCGTGTCTGTCCCCGTGTCTGTCCCCGTGTCTGTCCCCGTGTCTGTCCCCGTGTCTGTCCCCGTGTCTGTCCCCGTGTCTGTCCCCGTGTCTGTCCCCGTGTCTGTCCCCGTGTCTGTCCCCGTGTCTGTCCCCATGGCTGTCTCCATGCTGTCCCTGCTGTCCCCATGTCTCTCCCCGTGGCTGTCCCCGTGCTGTCTCCCTGCTGTCCCCGCTGTCCCCTGCAGCACTCGGTGCTGGCACACAAGTTTGTGGAGGTGATGACGGAGTACAACGAGACGCAGACGCTGTTCCGGGAGCGCAGCAAGGGCCGCATCCAGAGGCAGCTGGAGATCAGTGAGTGACCCCTGTGCTCCTGGCACAAACCACTTACTCCTCAGTGCCCCCTCGTTCCTTATCCTTAGGGTACAAAGCATCAGAGATCTCGGACAGCATCTCACAGGGCCTGAGAGAAAAGGAACAATTTTACTGCATGGCACAAACTCCTTGATATTACTCTTTTGAGAACAGCTGTAAAGAAAAGAGAGAAAACACAATAATTTCTTTAGACTGAAAATTATTAATGACATTGTATTTTTCCTTCGCTTCATCTACTTCCAATGGTGCATCTTTAAATGAAGTGTCAAGAAAAGCTGCATTCTGAAACAGCAAGTGTTATTAAAAGCCATTCCAAAATTAACATGCCTAACAGGATAACAGCTCTTTTCATGTGGTCCCATTTTTGTCTACAAGGACACTTCATCTGGCATAAAATCAGTGCTGCTGTTAAATGTGCTTTAATCATTTGTTGACTGACTCACATATGACTTACTTCTACTTCATTATTAGGAGTGTTTAGAAAGGTTCCTGGCTTTACTTTGAAGTACAGTATCTACCTTGGAAGGTGTCTTAAATGGGCTTAAAAATAGTCTTTTTTTTTTTTTTTAATGTGCTGTATAGAATATATACATTGCTGAAACAGGGAATGCAAACAGGAGAACTGGCAAATTAAAAGAAAATTTTGCTTTTCATGTGCTTTTGAAATTTGTCATCATGCTAATTGTTGTTTTTGTCCTAGCTGGAAAGACCACCACTGATGAGGAGCTGGAGGAGATGTTAGAGAGTGGTAATCCTTCCATTTTCACTTCTGATGTATGTATTTCTGGGCCAGTTACCTCTGCTCTGCTCTGCTGCCCTGCTCTCCGAGGGAGCTGGCACTGACGTGTCCCTGTCCCATCCATGTCCCCAGATCATCTCAGACTCCCAGATCACCAGGCAGGCCCTGAACGAGATCGAGTCCCGGCACAAGGACATCATGAAGCTGGAGTCCAGCATCCGGGAGCTGCACGAGATGTTCATGGACATGGCCATGTTTGTGGAGACTCAGGTACCTGGGCCTGCTCAGCACACCCAGGGCTGGCCTTTGCCCACTCCTCCCCTTTGCCATGGGCAGAAGCAGCTGATTATGTTCAGGTAGTGCAGGTTTAGAGTGATTCTGCCTGTGGTTAGAATAAATGGAAATTAATCACTGGGGTTTGTTTTGTTGTGGACAAATTGACCGTGTCAGTGTCCTCCTGCTTTCAATAACTGACCACAGTCTTGCCTTCAGGTCAGTATATTTAATATGTTCTTCAGTATGATTAATTGCAATATGCTGGAACATCTTTGGGCATGTTTAAGTAGGAAAAACTATCTCGTGTCGGGTTGTTAATTCCTTGTGGATTTTGGATTCTCAGGCACAGTGCAGTACAGGTGTGCAGCAAGGCTGTGTGCACCTTGCACTTCATGCAGAAGTGCAATTCTGTGTTCACCAACACGAATGTAAAGGCCTTGACAAGTCCTTCAAGTCTTCTCTTGTATTCACAAGCTTTGTCTTGACATGTACATAAATCTCTTCTATTTTTAGTCTTTAAATTCCAGTTATCCAGCAAAAGTATTCTTAACCATGATCTTAAAATGGTTTGACTTCTGCAGGAAAGGGAAAAGAATAGTGTTAGAAGAGAAACTTGCCTGAAAAGCAAGTTAGAGGAACTTGCCTGTTTTTTGTAATTGGGTTTTGTTCTAGAAGTCCTTTGTTGCTTTTATGTTAAATATTCAGCCAAGAGAAACGGGTAGCAGGTTTCTTTTGAATTACACACGAACAGAAGTTACTTGTGCATCATTCTGTAATGCTTTGCTGTTTACTGCTGCTGATTCTTTCTCCTGATGGACAGAGACACAGGTAACAGACTGACTGTCATCTTCCACCAGTCCTCCATTTCATTGCCAAACACCATTCCTCATCCTTAACTTGAATTTGTCATGCACGGGCAGCCTGAGCTCTGAGGGGCTCAGCTGTGTGCCCTCCCTGGAGCTGCAGCACCTGGAGGAGGCAGGGAGCATCCTGTCCCCTCAGCCTCTCCGGGGGTTTCTGAGCTCAGTGTGTCACCAGCGTGGCTGCTCAAACCTCCCTCCACACAAGGCATGTGTGAGGTGCTCCCTTGGTGCTCCTGCTCAGGGAGAAACTGGCCTGCCCTGCTCGTGAGCATCCCTTGTTCAGCCAGATCTGAACCCTTGCTTCCCATTCCCTTTTTCCTTCACGTGCCAAAGCAGAAAAAATGTCATCCCCACCATGTGCACCATTGACTCGTGAAAGTACTTCCCAATGTTCTAGAGCCTTTCCTTTAGATTCATTGATCTGTGCATTCCAGTAACGTGGTTTTCCTTCAAAATCTCGTTTGCAGGGAGAAATGATCAACAACATAGAAAAGAACGTGATGAATGCGACAGATTACGTGGAACATGCAAAGGAAGAGACAAAAAAGGCAGTTAAATATCAAAGCAAAGCACGCAGGGTATGTTGTCTTTCTGTAATTGTGCTAGGCAGTATTTTAATTTAGCACAGCACCATTTCCAGTGTGAATTACTTTGCTGTAGTTAATACTGAAAATTCATGATACCAATGGAGACTTCTCGGACTGTGAGAGCAGATCAGCAGTTCCTGCACAGCTGAGGGTGTGCTCACGGTTTTCCACTCAGAGCTGCCATTACAGAGTGTAAAAACCCCAAAAGAAGAATTAATGTGTTATTCCAGTGGATAAATTCCCATCTTTTTCTTACCAGCTTTCACAATACCTTAAGTTATTCAGATTCCAAATAACCTTAAAAGTTTCTGGTTGCTTATCACAAGTGAACTTTCCTGATTTAAAACTATAAAATCTATTTGCTAGCAGAAAAAATAAAAGTGCTTTTGCTGAATAGGCTTATTTTTTTTAAATTCTGGTTTTATTTTTAATTTTACAGATAAATTAGGGGGATCTTCCCTCTGGAAAGGGTGTGGCATTGTGCCATGACACTGAATTTGTGGAGGACTTGAGCTCAAAGGAAGGTTCTGGCACTTTCCAGGGCACTTGCTTTGTTTTGGTATCTTTCTTCCCATCAGACACCAGATAATATATTCTGATATCAGACTACTAAGTAGTTTATTTTTGCATTCCAATTTCCCCTTTTGATGTGCTGTGCAATTGGGTGAGGCTCGTTCTGGTGAGCTGAATTTGAGGGAATAATTAATTTTCTCTAGATGGAGATCTACACCGAGATACCACGCCTGATCCTTCACAAAAGATCTTTTCAGAAGTGTTGAAAGAGCCCACTTAATGTGCATGTAAATGGGGCTGGTGTCATCTCTGATAACTACAGGCAATAATCACACGAGTTTACCTGTTTAAAAACGTTAATTCTTACATTTGCAAGATTATGCAGATAAATTTATCTCAATTTAAGAACACGGGGGGGGGCTTTAATAAAAGTGCTTGTGGATCTAAAAACTACTTGAAAAATTGAACATAAATGCGAGTGTTAATGTGCTTAATATTTACAATCCCTTGTTTTTTTGACAGAAAGTGGTGATAATTGTCATTGTGTCAGTGGTGTTGATTGCCATAGTAGCTCTAATAATTGGTTTGTCTGTGGGTATTCGGTGATGCTTGGATAACCTCAGCATGCATGGCTTCCTGCCACTGTGGCAGTAAGTAACTAATCAACTAATTTGGCTCTTGTTCTCCCTGTCCTGTTCTGCTCACCCTTCGTGTTTGCCCAGTGCCCTGGTGGCCCTGCTGTCACCTTGCCTGTGTGTGATGGTGAGCACAGTGACCTGCCAGGACCTGCCTGGGGCAGGAGGTGGCAGCCAGCAGCCCAGGCTGGCTCCCAGCTCTTGCAGTGACTGGCTTTGTGCTGAAGTTCACACCAGCAAACAATCTGGAATGCTCAGTACCCTTGGGACTTTATCCAGTGGGGGTTCTGTGTTTTAAATAGAGTTTTTGAAAAGGAGATGTCTGCAGCCATGAAATTGGCTATTGTGGCTTGGAGAACATCTTCAAACTTCTTACTGTGAAACTGTTTATTAATGCTAGCCTAAATGAAACAGTGGGAGACAGCAATGTGTTCAGGACCTGGGATTTCTCTCAGTGTTCATGTTTTTGCTGTAGTAAAGAACCATTTCTGGTGCAGACAGTGCTTAGCCAGGCTGAGCAGGCAGCAGCAGCTCCCTGCTCTGGGGCAGCAGCAGTGCAGCTTCCAGCATGCACAGACTGCAGGCTGCACACAGAGCCCCAGGAGCTCATCAGACATTCCCATTTCTGTACTAACACCCTTTAACATCCAGGTGTGGTTTGGGGTTGGAGATTCTTCTCACCTCTGGTTTGTGGGCAGGGGGCAGAATTCACTGTGCCATCACCTGCAGTCAGACACCTGGCCCGGAGTCACACCCTGATGCATCTGCACAGAAGCATCTCTCCTTTTTTAACCCTTGCAGCTCCTCTGAGCTATTGCCTGCAGAGTGTTTTTACTGGCCTTCTGGTGAATTCCCCTCAGGGTGCAGCTGTAAGGGTTTGAGCAGGCTGCAAATATTTATCCAAGGAGGGTGGCAGTGAGCAGCCACTTGGAGTTGACCTACATCTGTTTGTAATGATGTTTACAGAAGTTGGGCATGAGTAATAACCAATACTCTGTAAAGGAAAATAGAGAAATGTTGCACAGATGGCTCTGTCTTGTGACTATGGTTACACGTGTGTTAGAAACAGGAAATCATGGCAGTGGTTACTCCTTAGAAAGAAAATCCCAGCACTCAGCCCGGGTGTCAGTCTTAGTGTGGCTCTGAATATGTTTAATTCTGTCTCTGACAACTTAACTTTTCTCTCTTTTCCCTGCAGAAATTGATGTTCATAATAATATGTGTAACTGTATTGCTTCTGATACTTGGAATTATCCTAGCAACAACTCTGTCCTAGCAAGCACATTCCAAGAGTTACCAACCTTCAGGAACTCCAAAACATCTTCAGTGAAACCAAACCTTTTCCACAGATGATGCCTTACGCTGTCCCAGCACCATGACCTGTCACTAATGGCTAAAAATGAAAGCAAAATCACTCTTAATGTTTACTCGTGAATGAAGATCAGGATGTATTGGGGGTGTGTGGATTTTACAGCACAAACTAGACACCTGTAAGACTGAAACTTGGTTTTGAGCTAAAGTAACTGCGGGTTTGTTCACATCTCAGTGTTACAGTTGAAGTAGGGAGGGAGAGACTATTGAGTTTTGAGTGTTTGGCTTTTTTTTTTTCCTATTGCTAACCTAACTCTAATCATGACTTAAGTACCTTGCCAGTGCTGCCTTTGTTAGCAGTCTTGTGAATATTTTTATGAGATGTAGCCTCGTGTTTAAGTGTATTAATTATTTAGTCACCTTAACCTATTTAAACCTTATGCTTTTTCTCCAACAAGTGCTAAAATATCTTATCCTGAAAAGACTACTCCTTTAACTGCCTAGTGCATTACTTGAGAAGAAAAACAGAAAAAAGCTTTTTTACACTTGCCAGGTTTTTTTATTTTTTCTGTTGAGGTTAACTGCTTTAAATACTTCCTTCATGGTTAATAAAAAGTTAGTTGCAACATTTCTGGTAAAAGCACACAGCTCTGAAATGCTGAATTTGCACTTGGGCAGGTAATTTTACAGGTAGTTCTTGTGCAGAGGAAACTGGTGGATCAGTTTAGCCTTATTGCTCACATGAATATGACAAAAATGACTTTATAAAGCCAAATCACGTTTTTTTGTTCTGGAGTTTGCTAATGTTGATGTATGAATATAGCACAGGGGGATGAACTCCCCCAGAAGAGTCTGAGCTTAATACAAACTAAGACACTGATTTGTTATGAAATCTTGTGGCTATAACATGGATGAAGTGTTTTGGTGTACAATGCCTGTTGTAATGCCAGCTTGCACCACTCGAAAGCTTCAGAGAACTCAAATGTACCCAAATAACTGCATTTAGTGTTACAGGTTATTTTTGTATTTTTGTGTGTAAAATATTTGTAACTTGGGTTTGTGACTCCTCGTTGTTCAAGCATATCCATGTAGATATGTAGATACATTTACACTCTAAGAGAAGTAGAGGAGAGGATAATTTGTGCCTTTTAAAACTTAGTCTAAAACTGTGCTCATCAATGTTTTCAGATATTCAGCTCTCATGTTGACTGCAGTAACTCAGTCCTACAAGTTTAGAATCCTCAAACTTTTGTTTTGTTGGAAGTGTCTGAGATCAAAGTTACTCAGAAAGCAAGAATTCAGACTTCATAAAATTCAGCAAAGTTTACAGTTTCTCTTGTATCTATGAATATTCCTGCTTTGCTGCCCAGGTATACTGTGAATATGCTGGAGCTATTCAGATGTCAAACTTGTTTGAAGAAAAAAGCAAATACTGTTGTTATTATTATTATTATTATCATTATTATTATTGGTCTCTACAAGTCAGCCATAAAGAAGTCGCTTGAAAAATTCGGCTTCAACAATGAACAAATTCCTTTTACCTCCGAGTCCAGAATGCTCACTGATGTTTGTGAGGAAGTTTACATGCAAAGTCAGGAAGGATTGGTTGCCTTAATGCTCATCCTAGGTAAATATATTTTATTCTGTAGTTTTCTAGATTTTTATCAGCAAGTATTATTTATACAGATATGCAGATTAGATGGGGGGAAAATCACTCCTGCTGTTTTCCAGCTGGTTATGTAAACTGACCCTCAAAATCCTGTCCTGTTGAGTTTTTTGCTCTGTCATGCAGTAATCTGCCCATCAAGACCAGAAATTTGAATAGGCTGCTGCACAGTTTTTACTTCTTGTTGAACAGCTGCCTCAGTGAGTTTGTTTTACAGCAAACCAGACTTTTCAGATGAACCTCTTTGTGTGGAGGTCGGAGGGGAGTCAGTCTCTAACCTATGCACTAATAAACTCATCCAGCGAGTCTGCTGTGTCTGCTTTGTGTCCCTGCTGTTCCTGCGGCCCCAGAATGTTCCAGAAGTGTTTCAACGAGGTTTTTGCACTGGCTTGCCTCAAACTCAGGGTAAGGTGGCACCTTTTCTTTGGTCAGTAGTGCACAAAGCTGTCCTGCTGCTGTGCTCGAGGGGGTTTGGGTTTTTGACTCTTGCATCGCCCTCAGCAGCGTTTCTGCCACCAGGGGAGTCTGCTGAAGCTTTGTGCAAGTGTTTTCATGATCTCAGTCAGCATTTCCCCTGCAGAGGTTTTCCAGCAGCTTTTCCCACCCTCCAGCAGTTTGGCCACCGTGCAGCTGATGAGCAGTGGCCAGACCCTGACTTGCCAGGCTGACTCTCAGTCCCTGGTCCAAACCAGGCTGCTGGCCCTTAAAAGCATGGCTGGACTCTGCTTTTAATTTATTTTGGGGTTTTATTTTGGGGTTTTATATTGAGAAAGTGGAAAGCCAAGCCTTTGAGTGCTGGCAGTGGGGCAGACAAAGCCCTGTGAGCCAGAGCTCCCTCTCAGTGTGTGCACTTCATGCTTCTTCAGTGGGCTGGGAGGCTCTCAGAAAACACAATTAATTCTAATTGTGTTCTTCCAGGCCTTCCCTGGGATTCCTGAGTTAAGCACAGCTGCCAGTCTGGACCTGAGTCCAGGGAAAAGCTCAGACCTGAAGTGTATTCAGTGAGAGCAATTGAGCTGCAGGCCCCTCTGCAGCATCACCTGAGAGCTGCAAGCAGGAGAGCCTGGCCCAGCAGGCTGAAGGGAGAAATACACGTTAAAAAATCCCAACAAACTGCTTTTAACCGTCTGAAAAGCTGCAAAAAACCCATTTCAAAACATCCTGGGATTGAATCAGTTCACAGAAGCACACATTGCATTTCCAGCTCACATGCTTGCTCTGCTTTTGATTTTCCCTTTTGGCAATTTATTCAGAGTAGAGTTGGTGGGTGGACTCTCAGAGGAGAATAAAAGCCAGTGTTTTGAGAAATAATGAAGTAATTATCTAAAGCATTATTTACAATGATTATTTAGAAGATAATGAGACCCTTTAATTATGTTTGTTCTGCATAGCTGGCCGTTCAATAATTCAGGGTGTTGCCATACAATTTTCTCCACGTTTACTTTGCCCATTTTTTGTTTAGGAAAACGTCACATTTTTGTGCTGTGTGTCAAGCTCAGATCTGGGCCCTCCTCTGGGCATTGTTTGTCACATGAAGATCCCCTGGGCTGGAGCAGGGCCTTTTGGGCTCCGGGTTCTGCAGTGTGATGGGGACAGGAGAAATGGAGGGTGAGATGCAGCTGCACCTGTTAAAGGCTGCTCTGGCTTTATTCCTGTAAAGGCACCCCTGGAATCTTTCCATACATTCATTACTGATGTCCCTGTCAGCATTCCTCTCACTGCAGCTGAAGCTTGACTTGCAGTTTGCTTTCATTTTGGGAGCCACGATGGGGATGTTTCAAATGTGAGGTTTTTAAAAAGAGCTCATTCGTGCAGGGGGAATTCAGAGCATCATTAACATTTCGGGAGCTAATAAAAATTCCACTGCAGCTGTGAAGGGGCTGCTGAAATAAACAATTCTCCTTAAGCACACGGTGAGCAGTGCCCAAGGAGTGGAGGCTCCCAGGGGAGAGGCTTCTGTGAGCTCCTTCCTGCAGCTAGGAGTGAGGATGGTCAGAAATCGGTGTGAGCTCCTTTCATGAGGATGGTCAGAAATCAGTGTGAGCTCCTTTTGTGAGGATGGTCAGAAATCAGTGTGAGCTCCTTCCTGCAGCTGGGACTGAGGATGGTCATAAATCAGTGTGAGCTACTCCCTGCAGCAGGGCAGGGACTGAGGATGGTCAGAAATCAGTGTGAGCTCCTTCCATGAGGATGATCAGAAATCAGTGTGAGCTCCTCCCTGCAGCAGGGCAGGGACTGAGGATGATCAGAAATCAGTGTGAGCTCCTTCCATGAGGACTGCTGCAGCTGGGAGTGAGGATGGTCAGAAATCAGTGTGAGCTCCTTCCTGCAGTAGGGAAGGGACTGAGGATGGTCAGAAGGGAATGAGGATGGTCAGAAATCAGTGTGAGCTCCTCCCTGCAGCAGGGCACAAATCAGTGTGAGCTCCTTCCATGAGGATGGTCAGAAATCAGTGTGAGCTCCTTCCTGCAGCAGGGCAGGGACTGAGGATGGTCAGAAATCAGTGTGAGCTCCTTCCTGCAGCAGGGCAGGGACTGAGGATGGCCAGAAAGCAGCGAGGGACACCTCAGAGGGTGCCAGCTTGTGCTGTTGATTTACGGCCAAGGCAGCTCCCCAGGGATCTCCACTGGCTCCAGGAGATGCTGCAGGGGCGGCTGCCCCCTGCCCACCCCTGCCCACCCCTGCCCACCCCTGCTCCTCTGAGGCACGCAGCACAGGGAGAGAACATCTGTGTTTGACTGGAGAACATCTAAAATGTGCAACCAGCGCCCTTCTGGAGTCACTCTGGGGGTCTGGCTGGGCTGCAGCTGCAGCCTTTGGAGAGCAGGAAGATGTTTATCCCCACAACAAACACTCCACAGTAAGGATTTAGTTCAGTGTCTGTCTCTCTCCCCTGGCTTTCCCATGGGGCTTGCCTGGCCTGTTTTTATATTTCCCACATCTGGCATCACCATTTGTGGGGAACTGATGTTACTGTCCCAGTGCAAGCATTCTGAACCTCCATTGCTACAAATGATTACAGCTCCTTCCCTGTCCCCACACAAAACACCAGTCCCTGCCTGCTGAGCTGCCCACCAAGTGCTGCACTGCCTTTAAATAAATTCATTTGCATGTGTGGAAGGTGCATTTGGACTACTCCTACAACGCAGAGCTATTTCTCACCACCTATTCATGCAGTTCCTCAATAGCCACTGGTGGCAGGATTTAAAAAAAGTTCACCTAAAATCAGGTTCAGGACCAGGAACCTGGCAAACAGCAAGTTTGCCCAGGGCTCTCAGAGTGCCCAGCAGAAGGTGGAGAGAAGGGCACTGCAGTGTGCCATGGAGAGCTGGGGGGATTCTGGGGGTCAGCAATCCTGCCCTGCTCCAGCCAGCCCTGTCTGCAGGACAGCTCTGCCCAGGGCTGGCAGCTGAGCTGGGGCTCCTTGAGTGAGAAACTGTTTGCAGATAGGTTTTGTCAGAGTTCCCGCTGGTGCAGTTCTCCCTAATGGGTTTTTGGGCACGGTTTTCCTTCCAATATGAGGCAAATAAAACCATGGAACAAAGCAGTCTTAAAAATAAAACATGAACTCACAAGACAATAAAATGCAGCAAGTGTTGACATGTGTTTTTAATACAGCCAATATATTTACGTTTTTAATCCCTAAAATAACAGAAATTGCTATAAACTTCAGGTGAGATTGAAGAAAATAAAGGCAAAATTTCTATTGCCCTGCAATCCAGCTGGGCTCACAAACCCACACGAGAGCTGGGTTTAGATTCCATATCTGCTTTCTGTGTTTTGCCTCCTCAAGGCTGGTTCATTGCTAAGGCAAGCACGTGCTGAGCAGAGTGACTCAGACCTGTGGGCCAGGATGCTTTTCTTGGGTTTCCACTGAGCATTCTTTTCATCCTACACAGATATAAATAAGTGCCCTTGATGACTTCCCTACCATTTATACTGGAAAAGTGAATGTGGCATTATTTTAATTGCATTAAAAATATTTTCTGTGCTTAAAGAGGAGCTGTTTCATAAACATCTGCTGTAACCTGAGAAGTTCTGCTTCACACCCTGGCACCCACAGTGCCACAGCACAGGGCAGCAATGCACAGGAGAAAAAGAAAAGCTGAACTGAACTGCTGTAAATGATCAGTAATTGGCTAATTCTGAGATCTGACTAGAGAGAAGAACAAACTCCAAACTCCTTTTCCAAGAGACCTTCTTGCTTGGCACTGCAAGGATCACCTTCCCTCAGATGTGAGATCCACACTCAGATGGGACTGAACCCATCCTGCTGGCCAAACAGAGCCAGCCTGACTCACCAGAGAGAGAGAAATGAAAATAAGGGTGGTGGTGCTTGGAAAAAGAGATCTCACTCTCTGTTTGCCCTGTGGGAGCGGTCCTGGTTACACAAGATTAAATGTTATGTAAAGTGAAAGAGCAGCTGCTCTGCCAGTGCCTGCAGCCAGCACAGAGTGAGGGGCAGGGGCATCCCCAGGGCAGGAGAGAGGGACAGCCCTGCTCAGAGGGTCCCTGAACCCAGGAGAGAGGGACCAGCCCGGCTGAGCATCCCCAGGGCAGGAGAGAGGGACCAGCCCGGCTGAGCATCCCCAGGGCAGGAGAGAGGGACCAGCCCGGCTGAGCATCCCCAGGGCAGGAGAGAGGGACCAGCCCGGCTGAGCATCCCCAGGGCAGGAGAGAGGGACCAGCCCGGCTGAGCATCCCCAGGGCAGGAGAGAGGGACCAGCCCGGCTGAGCATCCCCAGGGCAGGAGAGAGGGACCAGCCCGGCTGAGCATCCCCAGGGCAGGAGAGAGGGACCAGCCCGGCTGAGCATCCCCAGGGCAGGAGAGAGGGACCAGCCCGGCTGAGCATCCCCAGGGCAGGAGAGAGGGACCAGCCCGGCTGAGCATCCCCAGGGCAGGAGAGAGGGACAGCCCTGCTCAGTGTCCCTGAAGCCAGGAGAGGGACAGCCCTGCTGAGCATCCCCAGCAGCACAGGGCCACCAGCCAGGCCGGGCTGGGCTGGGCTGGGCCGGGCCGGGCCGGGCCGGGCTGGGGCACACAGAACATCCCAGCACAGGTGGCCCAGATGGGCCCGGTGGCCCAGCGCAGGCACGGATCGGCTCGGCACGGAACGGTTCCCAACGGGCTGCGGGCTCGGCATGGATTGGTTCGGTCCGGCACGGATTGGTCCCGAACGGTCTGTGAGCTTGGTACGGCTCGGCTCGGCACGGCTCGGCTCGGCTCGGTCTGGCCCGGCTCAGTCTGGCCCGGCTCGGTCTGGCACGGCTCGGTCTGTCCCGGCTCGGTCTGGCCCAGCTCGGCCCGGCCCGGATCGGTCTGGCCCGGAGCGGTCTGGCCCGGCTCGGTCTGGCCCGGCTCGGTCTGGCCCCAGGAGAGGGACAGCCCTGCTCAGAGTGTCCCTGAACCCAGGAGAGGGACCAGCCCTGCTCAGTGTCCCTGAACCCAGCAGAGAGGGACCAGCCCTGCTCAGAGTGTCCCTGAACCCAGGAGAGGGACCAGCCCTGCTCAGTGTCCCGGGGCAGGAGAGAGGGATCAGCCCTGCTCAGAGTGTCCCTAAACCCAGGAGAGGGACAGCCCTGCTCAGTGTCCC